TTTGTAATTATAAATGTAATGCTTCTTTTGGCAAAATTGCATGTTTTTTTAATATTTTTTAATTTGTTTTTGTTATAATTCCGGTTTCTATATAGGACTATCTTTTTCTAAATGTGCCTATCTTCTAGAGATGTTGGCGACCATATTGAATCATCATATTCTGTTCACAGCAGCTCGAAATAGATCAGTTGACGTTAGACCAGTCCACTTCCTAAGATTGGCCAGCCAGGATATACGTCTACGTCTAGGACCTCTCTTACTCTTAATCTTGCCTTGTAGAATCAGCTGTAGAAGTCGGTATTTACTATTACGCATGATGTGGCCGAAGTAAGCCATTTTTCTTTTCTTTACGGTGTCCAGAATTTCTTTGTCTTTACTTAGCCTCTGGACACTGGGGAATAGTTATGTTACTTGTGTGGTGTATATCTGAGACCCTCAACTCGGTAGCACCATATTTTAAATGCCTTCAATCGTTTTATGGCAGAATCTTTTAGTTTCACGAGTTTTTATTTCATAGCTGTGATCCCAAGTATCCTTAATATTGCAGCTCAAATATCATATTTTTCCACTCTTTCTAACGGTGTATCGCTTATTGTAATTTGGGCGTTTATGTTGGTGTTCTTATTAATGATCAATATTTATATAATATTATTTATTATTATTTATAAATATATAAATAGGACTATATTGTTTAAATATTGAATAATATAGAAGTTAACTAGAAGATTACTAGAACCGGGAATGAATATATATATGAATACATATAATTAAATTCTTAAAATAAACTAGCTAAAATTATTCTGTAGCATTCTGTTTGGTAGACTTAAACAATACTGTCTCCAAAATGACAGTGAACTAGAAAACAGAAAAGTCTTTATTCATCAAATATATCTAACAATTATATTGAAATAAACTCTAAGCTCCGTTTCACAGTTGTGTTTTACATATGATTTTTTATTTGACTATATCGTTGCGATTTTTTCCAAAAATAATGTAAGGATCATAAAATTCAAATTTTTTAATTTTTTACCCTATCGTATTACATAAAGATTCTTTGTAACTAAAAATCATTTTAAAATTCTGGTCGTAAAAATCGGAGATTTTAATTATTGTGAGTGCTGAAAATATCCAATTTTATTGCAGGACAAGGCGATGGAATACAAACTTGCACCGTAAACGTGAAACGAATATTTATATTGTGATGAGAAAATTCTCGAATACAAAAATACGTCTTTCATCTACAAAAATTAGTTTAATTTAGTGTGGTCGACATAAATATTTCAATGTCACCAGTTAAATTAATACACATAATATGTACATAAACAACCGAAATCAAAACAATAGAGTAATTAACAAAGAATATAACATACAAAATTTAAGTTCGATTCAATACGAGATTTTTAAAATAAATATAAAAGTATATATTAACATAATATCTACTGCATAAGCGGCTTACATAGAACGCCCAACTTTAAAGAATATATAAATATATATATATATATATATATATATATATATATATTATATATATATATATATATACATATATATATATATATATACATATATATATATACATATATATATATATATATATATATATATATATATATATATATATATACAGATTGAACGAAATAAATTCGGAACATAGGAATATAATGTATTTCGGCTCAATTCTGCTGTAGTGGTTGGCCAACAAAAGATTGTCAAATAATTATATTATAAAAATCCAATACTTCAGCGGGCTGCTGGATTCTGAACTGAAATTGAAAGCTACACATAAATCTACGATTTTAATATGCTGTCAAACCAGTTATAGTCCAGGAAATGAAGCATTTCACCTCGCAATTTTTTCGTGCTGCGTGGGTTGACTTGAAATTTAACAGAAGGTAGGTAATAGCCTAAGGATCAAAATCTATATCGAACCAAAGTGCGCCAAAGCCTAGGGGGTGGTTGCCACCCCATCTCCGGGGTGAAAATTTTTTTTACGTTTTAACTACAGGTTTCGATTAAAAAAGTGATTCTAGACAAAAAATGTGCTATACATTTTTTTTATAAAATGATATTTTTCAAGTTATTCGCGATTGAAAGTAACAACTTTTAGACGAAAAAAATCCACGTTTTTAATCGATTTTTCGCGAATAACTCGAAAATGGTGCATTTTATCAAAAAAATTGTAGAGAACAAATTTGTAGCTTTTAAAAAGACAAATACAATTCATTTTTTAAAATGTTTTTGCGATATAATAGGAACCGAAATACGGCCTATCAATGTTCAGCGGTTTTCTTCAAATGCCAAATTTGAAAGATTCAAAGTCAGATATCGGGAAAATGATGCATTTTTGGAAGAAAACTCACAAAACCTTTTTTAAAGAGCATAAACAGACCTATCATAAAAAAAGACTCTAGCTCAAAAATTGAGTGAGTTATGATGAAAATAAGGTCAATACCTCATTTTTTACGAAAAAATCGATGAAAACAACCCCCTAACCACCCCCATAATTAAAATCGATCTTCACCCTTCTGCAATTCCCTTTGTACATGTATTGTTAATACGTCCAAGAAGTTTGACCCATTTAAAATGCTTAGTTTTAGAAAAAGTACAGCTTAAAGCGAGAAACGATTTACAATTTCATATTTTTTACCCTTCTTTTTTTAAATATGCCCGAAAATACTGAATATATGAAAAAAATAAAAATTACCAAATTGTAGCTTTTTTAATGACTAAAATTATCCTTTATTTAGATTTGTTGTACAATGAATATTTGGCGAGATATAGCCGTTTAAAGCATCGATTTACGATCAAGCACCATCTTTTTCGGGCCCTTTAAACTCACCCCATTTAAAAACCAAGGGTTCCAAAAAGATTTAATTCACAGATCCTTGTAGCTCTTAAAAACCTCTACAAATCGTTTTTGAAGAAACACTCTATCGTTAAAAATTAAAGGAAATACGTTAAAAAAACCAGTTAATTTTTTTCCGGAAAATTCCATTAGTATAGTACAGTACATTTCGGAGCATAATAATCTACAAAACCGGTATATTAGCTAGTGGGGCGTTATACATTCGAAATTGTAAGCGTTCTTATTTTGAAATCCCATACAACAGAATAAAACATCTGCTCATGTGTCTATGGCTTGGCAATAAAAATATCAGAGCAACAGATTGGGGATGGTATTCCAAAGATGGTTTGTTATTACCCGTACGCATGAACAAACAACCTGCACCCGATGAACTTTTGAAAATTACTTTTTGCCAATGCAAAAAAGGATGCGGCGTTTCATGTGGGTGCAGAAAAGTTGGTTTATACTGTAACTCTACTTGTTCTGGGTGCTCAGGTGAAGGGTGCAATAACAGTCCACCAATAATTGAAGAAGATGAGGATGACATAGATCACGATGAAGATGTAATTGATGACGAATAAAATTAATATTATAATTGTTTTACCTATAAATGTAAATATTTTCAACTATTTATGTAAATGTATAAGAATATAATTATGGTGCCTTTTTATGTTGATAAATTTTTTTGTATTTAATTCTACTTTTTTCAATTTATATCTTATAAATTAGTTTATAAAAACTGCAATGTTGTAAAGGGTGATTTTCAAAAGTTGAAAAGTTGCAAAATTTTGGCAAAAAATTGTTTTCACCTATAGCACTCATAACAATTGATTTTTAAGGGTTGAAAATGTATGAATTTGTATTTTAAAGTATAAAAAAATCACTATTTAACTAATCCAAACCAAATTTCACTCATCTTAAGATTTGTAATATTATTTTACAATTTTTGAAAATTAGGGGTAGTTTTCAGCCCTAAGAACAATCAGGGTTCATCGGCATGACATAAACTATAAAGCAGAGGGTGAGTTGAGCTTAATTCCAAATTTTTATGCAAATCGTTCCAAGGTGAAATCATTTTCTTCGCATTACTAATTTTTCTATATTAATCTCTAATAAGGGTCGCTTTTTAAGGGTTGAAATATGATGGAACTTTATTCAAAAGCACGAAACTATCATTATTTAATTAATTCAAACCAAATTTTACCCATATTCAGGTTTAATATGTTATTTTATAATTTTTGACAATTAGGGGTAGTTTTCACCCCTAAGAACAATCAGGGTTCGTCGACATGACATAAACTATAAAGCAGCGGGTGAATTGAGCTTAAATCCAAATTTTTATCCAAATCGATCCAAGGCGAAATCATTTTTTTAGAATTAGTAATTTTTTTACATTAATCTCTAACAAGGGTTGCTTTTTAAGGGTTGAAATATGATGGAACTCTATTCAAAAGTATAAAATAATCATTATTTAACTAATTCAAACCAAATCTTACCCATATTCAGGTTTAATATGTTATTTTATAATTTTTGACAATTAGGGGTAGTTTTCACCCCTAAAACCCTTCAGCGCACTTCGGTTCGATATAGATTTTGATCCTTGGGCTATCACCTACCTTCTGTTAAAATTTCAACTGGATAAATGCAGGACGAAAAAATTGCGAAGTTTTAACTTTTTTCGAGCTTCATTTCCTGAACTATTATCGCTTGCTTAGACAAACCCGTCTTACGCAAACAACATTGTTACGAGACAGATAGTTGAACGATATTTTATACAATGTCTATACCCAGGTATGGATTTATTTTTGTCCAAGTTTTATATTGGTCCACTATTTCAAATGCAGTTCAAACAGACATGTATTAAATTGTATGTTCCGTTTTAATTTGGTTCAATCTGTATATATATATATATATATATATATATATATATATATATATATATATATATATGTATATATATATGTATATATATATATATACATATATATATATATATATATATATATATATATATATATATATATATATATATACATATATATATACATATATATATATATATATATATATATATATATATATAATATGTATAATATATATATATATATATATATTATATATATATATATATATATATAAAAATTTTTGGTTACAGGTGGCTTCAAAGAGGTTCTATGTTTGTGGTGTCTCAACCTCAGGTCAGAAAACTTTTAGGAGTAGATGAAGACTGGAAATGCAGAAGCCTTTTAGATATAGGAGCAGGAGATGGAAAAGTCACGGACCAAATAGCACCAATATTTCATAAAGTTTATGCGACAGAAGTTTCAAGTACCATGAGAACATTACTTCAAAAGAAAGGCTATGAGTAAGTGATCACTTTTTAATGTTGGTTAAGTTTTATTATCTATTATGTTGAAAGTATTAAAACAAATCATTAGTTTTAGTCCGTTTGACTAATCTTTCAAAAACACATACACACACATACAAATACGCGCGTGCCTGTATGTTTTAGTATTAAATAAAATTGCAGCGTATTAGTTTGAATATTGTATAATAAAATCTATCAAAAAGCTTTTATTGTTGATATATGACACCAATTCAGATTTTGTGAGCTTCAAAAGTCTTCCTCTATGTATATATTCTTAAACTTTAACTACTGCGCGGCGCTCTGGAATCTCGTCGTACTACAACCTGCGCGATTTATTATCTATACCACATCTATTAATGTGAGATTGGAAGCCTAAGTAAATATGAATAAGAAAATATGGTTCTGAATTTTATGCTCTTTAATGAAATTAAAATTGACATTCTCGAAAAAAGACAAAATCTTCGAGAAAGGCAGAACTTAGAAAATATAAAAAGGTTAAGATGAACAGTGTTTAGGGTTAATTTGTTTTATTCACTGCTTGGTTTGCTATTTTTGCAGAAATCGCATGTAACAACTGTTATCATATGTTATTTGCACACTGCCACATTGCAACTTTCGCAGATGATCGTTGTGTGACTTGATTGTTGCAAATGAAACATCTCGCTCATATTTTTACAGGTGGTCCTCATTGCCTTCTATTGATTAAGTCAGAAAACATTTTATATCACTTGACAATAATGATATGCTGGCGCGTTTATATAGATATGGCTCTATCAAATCTAAGAAGAGCACTTTCAAGAATTATGTTCTGTGTTTAAATAACTGAACACGAACGAATTTGACGAGGCATAAACAATAAACAAATAAGCGAGGTTCCTACAGCCTCTGCCGCCTCTCGCATTTCGACCGCCATCGTTTTCTGTCCATCCATTCGTCTTCTTTGATGGCTCTATCTCTCATTATGTGTCGTACATTTTCTTCCCAGGCAACTGAAGGCCTTACCCTTCTTCTTTGTTGTGGTATGTAATTTAAAGCTTTCTTTGGCCATCTATCTTCATTCATTCGCTTCACGTGACCATACCACACTAGTTGTCTCGTTTCAATTCTGTCTACACTGGAATATACAGTATTTGTCCTCCTTCTAATATCTTCATTCCTGATATGATCTTTTTTGGATACACCACACGCTCTCCTTAGAAAATCCATTTCTACTACTTCTATTCTTTTTCTATCTTTTTTCGTGATCTGCCAAACTTCTGCCCCATAAGTCATAATAGGCTCTACCAAGGTTCGATAGATTGTCAATTTCGTTTCTTGTTTAATATCTTTAGACCATAGTAGAGAGTTTAGAATGTTAACCGCTTTTTTTCCCTGCTGCGTTCTGTTTTCGATGTCTCTTTTGGTAGTGCCTTCTTTAGATATTATAGATCCGAGATATTTATATTCCTTGCATGTTTTTGTGTTTCTAATTTCTAACTCTGGATCTTCTTCATCATCTCCTATTTTAAGATACTCTGTCTTTGACATATTCATATTGAGGCCCCATTTTTCATATTCTTTCTTTAGTTTTCTAAACATGTAGTCCATGTTTTCCTCATCATTCGGAAATGTGTGCGAAATTTCCCTCTGTTCGTTCAAATAATTTAAAGGTTATTTAATTTATTTGTCCCTGAGGCTAAATATTTAAATTATTGAACTTGCTCTAATAGTGATACTATACACATTTAGAAAATTTCATAGGATTCTTTAAGACTTAAACTATCTCAGAAGTTAAATGCATATTGCGTTTTTCATCGAAATTATTTACAAAATAAACGTTTGAAAAAGGGTATGTTTTTTACTTATAAACAATTGTAATAACTTCTATATTTTTAAGCTACAGACTTGTACGTACAACCATTGGATAGCTGGTAAAAAACTCACATTAAAAAAACCTTCTATGACCAATAGGAACGAAGTTAGGGACTATTTTGACGAAATTTTGGAGCGTGGCAGCTGCTACTCATCCCGCCTTTTTTACGCATACTAAGATATATTACCGGTTTTCTATTATATAGATGACCTTTCTCCTATTCACATGAATACATATAAAATGTAGGGACACGAGGACGGTATACTCTGTGATCTTTGGAGATATTTAGATCTAAAAACATAAATAAATGTGTTTACCGTCCTCGTACTGTACATATACCTATACACATATATAAACATATAGATCGACAGAGTGGTAAATAGTTACAATTAATATAAGGAATGTCGCTATTTTTCCCATGATGTCGGTTACTTTAGTTCTTCGACGTATTTCGGTGTTAGAAATTTTGTCTCTGAGGCTTATATTTAACATGGCCCTCTTCATGGCCCGTTGAGTTACTCTTAATTGTTCTGCCATTTTTCTTGTTATTGCCATAGTTTCCAATCCATAAGTTGCAACTGGTAGTATACAAGTGTCATAGGTTTTTCGTTTTAAGTGAATTGGGATTTTTCTGTCTTTTAAAATGAAGCTCAACTTACCAAAAGCAGCCCATGATAATTGTGTCCTTCTTTTAATTTCTAGGGTTTGATTTTCCTTTTCGTTTTTAATTGCATGTCCTAGATATATATATATATATATATATATATATATATATATATATATATATATATATATATATATATATTGTTCTACCTTTTCTATATTGATGTTATCTATCGTGATGTTTTCTAGGCTGTTGCTTAATATCTTTGTTTTGTCGAGATTCATTTTTAATCCTATTTGATTCGATTTGTGATTTAAATCTTGTAGCATTGATTTTAGTTCATGGATATCTGTGCTTATTAGTACTATGTCGTCTGCAAAACGCAAATGGTTAAGATATTCTCCATCTATTTTTAATCCATTTTCGGCCCAATTTAGTTGTTTGAAAACATTTTCTAATGCCAAAGTAAATAACTTGGGTGAGATGGTGTCGCCCTGTCTCACACCTTTGCCAAGGTCTATTTTCATAGTTTCCAGATCATCATCTATTTTTACGTGAAAAGTAGCATCATCGTATATATTCTTAAGGAGGGCAGCATATCTTGAATCTACTCTGGCGTCGTCCAATGCTGTTAAGAAAGCCCATTTCTCGATACTGTCGAATGCTTTGTGATAATCGACAAATGCCAGATGTAGTGGTATGTTGTACTCTATTGTTTTTTCAATAATGGTCCGAATTGTTTGCAAGTGATCGATAGTGCTAAAACCCTTACGAAAGCCTGCTTGCTCCACTGGTTGGTATGCATCTAGTTTAGCTGTCAATCTATTTGTTATTATTCGGGTTAGTAGTTTGTAAAGGTGTGACAATAAGCTTATTGGTCGGTAGTTTTCTATATTTGCGGCGTCCCCTTTTTTATGGAGTAGAATGACTTCCGCATTTTTCCATGTCTTCGGTATTTGTCCTTCCAATAGGCATTTATTAAGTAATGCTCTTATTGCCTCTTCTAATGCAGTGCCTCCCATTTTTAGCATCTCTGAAGTAATTTTATCTTCTCCTGGTGTTTTCCCATTTTTCATTTGTTTTAGGGCGGCTCTAATTTCTGATGTTATTATTTCAGGGAAGTCCTCTGAGCCCACATTTAAGATATGTTTTGTTGGTATACCGGGGTTCGGAATAGTAGAAGTATACAGCTTCTCATAAAATTTTCGGATTTCTCTAACGATCTCTTCCTTATGCGAGCACAATGTTCCACGGTCGTCTTTTATCTTTATGATTTTATTCCTGCCAGTGGATTTACATGTTTTTAGTACTTTCATGTTCTTATTGTTTTCTATGGTTTCAAGAATCTGGTTTGTTCTATAAACTCTGAGGTCTTTTCGAATATTTTTCTTAACGCTTCTGTTGAGCGCTTTATAGTCCGGGTTATCTCTGTTCGTTCTTCTTCTTTTCTCTATCTGTTCTAGAGTTTCGGGTTTTAGTTTAGCTTCCTTTTGTTTTCTTATTCTGCAACAAAGTTTCTTAGTGACTGTTTGTATGTCTTTAGTTATTTTCTCAGCTAGTTCATCTATATTCTTGTGCTCAAAGGTATTTGCTACTAGTTTTCGTGCTAATTCCTCTTGGTATTTCTCTTTATTACTGGCTAGGATGTCTGCCGTCGGTAAAGGGTTTGTTGTTAATAGTTTTCGTCTTTCTCTCTTTACGTTAATACGTATATCAGCACGAACTAGTCTATGGTCACTGCCGGTGTTAAATTTGTTCAATACCTCGATGTTTTTACATATTGATCTATCACTGGAAAGGATAAAATCTATTTCATTCTTAACCTGACCGTCAGGGCTACGCCATGTCCACTTTCTTTGTATTTGTTTTTTATAGAACGTGTTCAGGCAAAACATTTTTTCGGTGCTTACGTAATTTGCTAATGTCTCTCCTCTGGTGTTTCTGTTGCCTAGACCGAAATTTCCTATGTAGTCTGAGTCACCTGGTATTCGCCGCCCTATTTTTGCATTAAAATCTCCGGTGATGATAACATAGTGTGTTTTTTCTAGGTCTTTAGCTCGCGTTATATCTTCGTAGAGTTGTGCAATTGACTCGTCATCTGCAGTGGAAGTTGGAGCATAGCAGTGTATTATCTGTAAGCTATATCGTTTATTCAGTTGTATTACAAGATATATCACTCTTTCCGACACTGCTGAGTATTTCACAATCTGGTGTTCTATTCTTCGGTTGACCATGAAAGCCACTCCTCCTTGGCCGTGGTTCTCCTCTGAATTATATTGGTATAGAGTGTGCCCAGATGTTAGGGTGGTCTTTTTCTCTCCTTGAAGTCTCGTTTCACATAAGCTTACAATATCCCATTTAATAGCCCTTAGTTCCTGCTCTAATTCCTCTAGATGGTCGTTCGTTCTCATGGTTCTAATGTTGTATGTAGCAATTTTAAAATTTTGAGAATTAATTTGTTTATTTTTGTCATGTATTTTCGATCTTCTGCCTCCCCCAGAATCCGTGAGGCAGTCCATAGTGGAGTGGGATTCTGAGATA